AGTTTAATATTTTGCATTCTAAATACAAGCTCTGATTAGTTAAAAAAAATCTTACTGATTATGTAAATATGTTTGTTACATACGTGCCTCTGGTAAAAATTGTTAGTGACTGTAAGGGATATTATTTTAAAATTATGTTAGAACATATTCATCTTAATGTTTTTAATTTCGTCACGTTTATCTTAACTGAGGGACTATAGGGTGAATCAGTCAGAAAGTGCAAAATTAAATATATGAACGTATATATCGTTGAAACTTAATCAATTTCCCTTCCATCTCTTGCTATACATTTCACCTCTGTTAAAATATTTTATTGTTCTTATTTATTTTCTTGGATTTCTGGTGTATACTCATTTCTTTCCGGGTCCCAACCAGTGACCTAAGGTCAGAAACATCATCATGACATTTTCCACTAAGCATTAAAATAATAAGATGACACATATTTTAAATAAATAAAGCCCCTCATAATGTTTAATCTGTACGTGTGAATGCATTTGTGTTGTATTTCATTAAGGTATGTGCGACCAGGAATAACTTCAATGCGTTTTTTTTCCAGTGAAGCTGGGGGCTCAGACTATAGCTGGAACTTTTTTGTGACCTCAGATGCCACATTCTTTAGATTTCGATTTCAATGTTCTTGTATTCTGATAGCTTTTTAAAGATCTTCAAAGATACATTACAGTCTGCATGGGTTACCAAGTTAATAAGATGGCATATTATATATTTCTCGTCTCTGGTCATGAAGTCTGCACGATTCGCTGTGATTATATTTTCTATGTGTATTATAAAACCCCATGAAATTTCTACAGGTCATAACTCCATAAACGCGTCTCCGTTATGCTTATTCTAATTTATTGCAGTTTCCTTTCCGTGAAAGTTGAATATTTTCCAATGCAGACAATGTTCCAAACTCATGCTAGATTTATATTCAGTGGGTGCCAATATCGTGCAACCTGATGCAAGATGGTCAATTATTTCTGGATTTTGATCACAGAATCTGCATTTTGGCCTAGCATATTTTTTCAGTATGTGTCTTGGTAATTTCTAGTTAGCAAGCATTGGTTTCGTGAAGCAAAAATAAAACATTTGGTTTCAGATTTTAACTCTGCACTACGTAGCCACTGATAAGTATGGGGGCTTGTCTACATCAGCTTCTTTGCTACGGGCAGAGTATTGATCATGAAGCGGTTTATCTTGCCATTGTTTCTGTATCTGGTCGTTTGCATTTGTTTTCGCTTTCTTTTTTATGTATTTTGCAGCTTTAATCCGTTTATTTTTCTTTATTTGTATGTATGCATCCATTTGAAACACCATTTTGAACTTGTTGGTTTCCTTTATTACGGAATAAAGGTGCTTACTACTTTCATATTCTTTGACAGAGATTATTGTCTATTCTTCTGTGTTTTCCAGGTATCTTTGAAGGCCAATTATTGAAGTTTTGTAGGACAGTTCTATTTGAACAAATCCTCTGCCTCCTTCTGATCTACAGACGGTCAACATGCAGACTATCAACATCATCTTTGGGATGATGCATGCGGTAGCAGGTGAGAATCTCTCGTTTTGCCTTCCATTCTTTTAATGTCAGCTATGGTCCATTTAAGGATGTTAAATTTGTATTACAGCCACCACAGAGACAGCCAAGGTGTTTATGGCTGATATTCTGTTTTTTGAGTGCAGCTCGTCATTTAGTACCAGACTCACACGTCTGTAGTACTCCTTTCGTAACTTGTCTTTCATTTCGATATGTTGTATATCATTTACTTCGCTAATTCCTAGTTATTCATAGGCTTCATTTTGTTCCAGTTCCCTAATCTTTGTGACAAAGTCTAAATCTATTGAGGTTGTTTCTGTAACTCTCCTTTTATTGAATATTACTTTTTCACATTTATCTAATCCAAAGGTTCAAACCTATGTCGTCACTGAAACAATTTACAATATTGAGGAGGCTCCTCAACTCATTGTAAGTTTTGGCAAAGAATTTGAGATCATGCATGTAGAGTAGGTGATTGAATATTTTTCCATGTTCGTAACCATAGCTACTTTTGTTTAAGGGAGATTAAGTACAAAAAGAACAGAAGAGGTGAGAGGCAATCTCCTTGAAAGATTTCGCGTTGGATATTCAGACGGTTGGAGATGACAGTGCCTCTGGTGTGATTTAGCTATAGTGTGGTTTTCCCCATTCCCATGCTGTGATTCAGGAAATTTACTACCACAGGGGAAACCTTGTAGGTTTTCAAAGTCTTAAGGATCCCAGAGTGTGGCACACTGTCAAAGACTTTACGATAATCAATCCACGCTGCGCTAAGATGTCTACAAACTCTCCTGCAATTTTCCAGGATCATTTTATTTATCAATAGTTGATCTTTGTAGCCATAAGAAACACTCTTGTATTCCTTCTGTTCCAGTGAAAGAATGTTGCTTGTTTCGATGAAAGAGTAAGTTCGGTTCGTCTGGACAGCCGTGATCAAATTATACGTGGTGGGGAGACATGTTATTGGCCTATAATTTTTCGCATCATCTGTTTCACTCGATTCTGACATGAGATATGTAATGCCTTCACTGATCCAATCCGAGATTTCTTCGGGATTATTTACAAGTGTTGATAGATATTTTGAAAGGGTTTTATTGATTGATGAGAGATGATAGAGCCAGAAATTGGGCACTTTGTCATTTCCTGTGTATTTCTATATTTGGGATTTCGTTAGAGCTTGCCTAACATTATCTGTGGTTATATTTTTCCACTCTTGCATAGGTGTATCCAGTATTCGTTTTTTCTTCATTTTGGATTCATTCTGCATATGGGTTATATTCATTTAGTCTGCTCCCAAATGTCTGCACATTGCCAATTGTTTAGGTGCATTTATAATTACACTGTAAAATTTCTTAAGATCCGTTTGGAATATTTTATTTTGGCGATAGAACTCCACCGTTTTTCTTTTATTATTATTATTATTATTATTATTATTATTGATATTATTATTATTTGATTTGATTTCTGCCGTAGACTTATTTCCTTCCGGGTCCCAATCAGAGACATACGTAAAAAAATGAGTATAACTATAAAACAATTTAAGATCACAGATATTTTATTTTGTAAGGGGTATGTTGTACTTGTGAGAACGGTTGTTTTTTTGTATTTCTTTAAGGGGCGAGATATCAGGGATTCAATCAGCGTACCAGAACCTTTTCCAATTAAACCGAGATGTTTTCATGTGCCACAATTTTGAGATTTCCATTACAAGGTCTCTCTACATTATTATTATTATTATTATTATTATTAGTGATCACCATCATTGTCATCATCATCATCATCATTAGTAGTAGTAGTAGTAGTAGTAGTATGTACTTGAAATCTGCCTTTTTGATCTACTCGACGCAATTCCAAATGTTTCATTCGTGCAGGGGGCATCAAAATATATGTTACAGCAGTATTCTTTCTTTAAGACCTAGGAAAACTGGGTAAAAATATTAAAAAGGGATGAAGAAAAATTGAAAAGTCTCCAATATTTTCAAATTTCTTTTGTGAAATTTTAAAAGCAATCAAACTATGTTGGCTTGTGAATAAACTCTTTAAGTAATTTAAATAAATGAAAACACACAAATGAAATCAGGAAATAATATTTGATACCAAAAACAAATTTTCTTTAGAAAAATGTCATAGTAACAGTATTTTCATTACGAAGTTTGATAACTAGATAACTGGGAGATGTGTATTTGCATATTCTCGGTATATCTCGGTACATGCTTTCAGCTATCATCTTCTAACTAGATCCCCGAAAGGCATTTGAACTTTATATATGCAACTAGGCATAGTAAATTTGCTCCTCAAATGGCTGCTTTTCTTTCCAATCTTTCTAATTTTCCAGTCTGTTACAAATCATCTTCTGCCGTTCGTGTCTTTCAAATTCAGATGAGATTTCTGATCCCTCGAACCAATGTGCAATTACTCTTTCACCTTTATTTGGCATTTTACTAGAAACTCCGATCAACTCCGACTTGGTTAATCATCATACTTCGCGCGGCCTTCTTTCAGATACATAATATGGTATTCGCTTCTCTAGGTCAATAAGCGGCTTGTTAAGTGTTATTATTGAATCTGTCTGAATGGCGTGATTCAGAATGAAATTTTAGATATCTCGAAGGAATTTGAAAATGTTTGGTAAGCTAGCCTTCTTCAGGTGCCATGGTATCTCTGGCTTAATATTTAATTTGATCCAATCTTTGTTAATAAATCATGTAATGAGGGTCGGTTTGAACGGCAACTTTTCTAGATCCTTTCCAATTAATTCTGGTTTCCCTTGGAGTCTATTCATGGATCTTCTCGATGTTATCAGTTCCCAAGTACGTATTTATGCTCATGAACCATTTACTTCAATATCTCTTTATATTTCTGAGATGATGTATTATGTACATTATTTAAATTATTCGTACTATTCTCCTCATCTTTGTCGACATATTTATTACAGCGTTTCGGCCGTTGTACGCTCCGGCCTTCTTCAGGTTGTTGGAATGTCGAACTGAAACTTTTTTCGCTCACTCGGGTAGACTGTTCTAGTTCCACGTGCCATGTTTAATGGATGTCAGTTATCAGTTATCTCCTGTTAATTTTCTCTCTGAAAGCTCTCCACTGCCTTAACCGGGTATTGAACTCATACTCTTTGGGTCCTTTTACTACTTCCTTCTAATTCTCTTTCATTCCTAGTAATTTATTTCGTCTTAGTGGGAGTGAAATAACTAAAAAACAAAACATTAGGAAAGGGAAATGCAGCATTAGCAATCGTAATCTAGTATCATGTAAACGTTAAGTTAAGGAAGAAAAAAAATGAATGAAGGTTATGGAAAGAAATATCAATAATAAATAAGAAACAAAGATGGCTGAAATGAAAGATGATTTGTTTGAAAAAGGAAAGGGAATTGAAATGTTCATATATTATTGCTGATTGAAAGGAAAGACAAATTGAATGAATGAACAACGAGGGAGGAATGGTGAATAAAATTAATTAACTTAGATGATAGTATAATAGAGAAAAAGGTATAGAAGATGGGTAAATAAAGAAAAGAATGAGTATAAGTTCTTGCTGAATAGAGAAATAGATATAAGCATGCAGAAGAAAGAAAGAAAGAAGAGAATAAAAAGAAAGAAAGAAAGGAAACCATCGAAGAGAAAAGGAGTCGATACGAAATAGTTTTTTTGAAAGAAGAGAAAGAGTGAGAGTAATTAATGAAGGGAAAATAATAAAAGAGATAACAGGAAAAAACAAAGAAAACGAAGCGGACAAAGGAAGGGAGAATGAAATATAGACAAATAAAGAAAGAACGGAAAAGAAAACTGACGTGATAAATAAAGAGTAAAAAAGAAAGTACGAAAGAAAGAAAGAAAGAAAGAAAGAAAGAAAGAAAGAAAGTACGAAAGAAAGAAAGAAAGAAAGAAAGAAAAAAGAAATAAAAGAAAGTAAGAAAGAAAAAAGAAAAAAGGAAGAAAGAAAGAAAGAAAGAAAACGAAAGAAAGAAAGAAAGAAAGAAAAAGAAAAGAAAGAAAAGGAAGAAAGAAAAAAGAAAGAAAGAAAAAAAGAAAGAAAGAACGAAAGAAAGAAAGAAAAGAAAGAAAAAAAAAAGAAAGAAAAAGAAAGAAAAAGAAAAAGGAAGAAAGAAAAAGGAAAGAAAGAAAGAAAGAAATGAAGAAAGAAAGAAAGTACGAAAGAAAAAAGAAAGAAAGGAAGAAAGAAAGAAAGAAAGAAAGTACGAAAGAAAGAAAGAAAGTACGAAAGAAAAAAGAAAGAAAGAAAGAAAAAAGAAAGAAAGAAAGAAAGGAAGAAAGAAAGAAAGAAAGTACGAAAGAAAAAAGAAAGAAAGAAAGTACGAAAGAAAGAAAGAAAGGAAGAAAGAAAGAAAGAAAGTACGAAAGAAAAAAGAAAGGAAGGAAGAAAGAAAGAAAGAAAGAAAGAAAGAAAAAAGAAAGAAAGTAATGAGATAAATAAAGAAAAAGTAATAAATAATGAAAGAAAGTTAACATGATAGAAATATATAGAAAAACAATAAATTTATTGAAGCAAAAGAAAAGTTTTAATAGAAACTACAATGTCCAACTTATAAAAAAGAGAGTGAAACTAGACGATTTCAAGTTAGTTAAATGGGAAAGAAAGAAAAGTGAAGGAGATGACAGAATTAAACTGAAAATAACGAAAAAAAGAAAAAAAAAGTAAGTTAATGAATGAATTAAAAAGAAATATTCAAGCTTATACCTACCAGAGGATAGAAATAATGTTAAATGCAAAAGAAAGAAAGAATGAATAAAATTAAGACATAAATAAAAGTAAATTAAAGAAATCATCTAATTCATAAAATCTTTCTCGAAAATCAACGCATTTCACGCTTATTTGGCTGCTAAAAGATGCAACATCACGGATGGACTAAGGTTCAGTAAGACTGAAACCAACAACATCTCAACTTAATGGCAGTAAACAATTCGCTGTCACGATGCTAAAACTCCGAAATCATGTAAAATTTCCGGCACTCTTGTAAACAGTGAATAGATATTTATGCTGTTTGAACAAATCGTATTTTAGTAGTTGACGATTACACTTCAATGTGCTTGCAATTACGACACCTCGACGTGGCGTAATGTTTAACACGTTTGTTTGCAATAACAATTACGACTGATGAGAGTTTGATCCTCACTGGATGCCCACTACTTTCTGCCACATCTAGTCCACAAAGAAAATATCATTTAGGACACTTTGACGTGGTGTAATGCATTGAAAGATTGTCTCGCTCTATCAGTTACGACTGAAGGGGCATTTCCGCCTTCCGCCACATCTAAGGTATTGTATTTCAAAGTGGAACATTGGTGCAATGGATAGCGGCTCGGAATGAGAAATCGGTAAACCAATTTGAAGTCCAGTCGAGTTTGCTTCATTCACTTATTCCAAAAATATCCTTGTGAAAGGTAGAGAACGAACACTTCTCCTCCTAGTCTTGGGTTAAATAGCACAACAGACTGACCGATCTAGTTTGTTTGATAACCAGATTTGGAGATGTTTGGGCTCTTTCAGTTTATCTTGTCCAGAACACACTACTACCTGGCTCATAGTGGTATCCATTATCGTTACAAGGGCTAGATCAGGCCTAAAATTGAGTATTGTTATTATATTTTGGCAGGTGTTGCCCAGTCCTTAATTTCCATTCCAGATAGAGTCTAAAAGAATCTCCGGGTCATTGTGGGAACAACTTATTTTCCACCTTTTAACCCCTCTCTCACGGTCGGTATGTTCAAGAAACACCTGAAGGAAGCCGAATAATACAGTGTCCTCATTTTTCTTTTTAGTATTCAGTTTTCAGTTAAGCAGGATCTGTCAGGCAATTACGAACAGAATTCGTGTTGTTAATTTTGAGGATATATTGTTTTAATTCTGCTGTCCATCTCTAGTGATATGAAAACTTGTTCGGCCAATAGGCTATTTTCTTAAACCAATGGCCTGGTCGACTAATGTGTTGGTTCCTGAAATTGGTGTCATATTAATTTTAGGATCAATTCTTTGGCTTGTTTGTACGAGATACGATACAGTGGAAAACGGGCGATAACTGAACAGGACTAAAATAAACAAGAACATACCTAGACACAGGACGAGAATATTGTACTCCCGTAGAAAAAAGAGGAAAAGTTTCAATTCGAAACCCACCACAGCTTACTCCTATCAAAGACACCTGATATAGGCCGGTGTGTACGACTGTCGAAAAGTCCTCATAATAACAGCCAAGCAGAGGACATTGGTCTGAAATATACAATGTAAATAAGTCTTGATATATCGTAAAAACTAACCAAATAAATATGTCTTTATGCGGAAATCGCAACAGACGTAGGAAAATTTAGTAGAATAACAAAAAAGCCGGTAAGAACCAGAGATGCCTCCAGATTATTAAAAGCTATATTTCAGTAATGTATGCATCTGCCATTGGTAATATATTCCGGCACTTAATGTAAATTTCGGAATTTTTGTATAATGACATGTACAATTCCTCATAGATTAGAAAGCCTTGCAATCAGAATCATTTTGTTCCTTTATTTAAAAAAATAAGAAACATCTACCAAAAAAACAAATGATCACATTTTTCATAAGATATTTAATGACAAATTCTTTCTTGCCTAAAACTGATTTTCCTCTTCACTGAATTGCATACCGAGGAGAAATTGAATATGCTTTGCCCAGGGATATTTCTGATGTATTTCATTTAATTTTAGAAAACTGCGATTATTTTATTTATTTTGAATTAAAACACCTTATTGGTTGGCCACTCGTTTGGAATTTTCTCTTCCATAACGAATTAAAATTTATTCATAGAACAGATTCTGCATTTTCAAGTATTGCTTTACTTAGTTAATTATACATACAAACACTTTAATCAGACTTCCATGGTTTCTGCTCCAGAAGGAATTATTCGATTTATCGAATGTCGTAAAGCAGTGTAAACTCAAGCCGAGAAAAAGAGGTAACAATCCAACAGGATCATTCTGAACACTGAATATTTTAATAAACTTATTAAACACTGAATATTTTAATAAACTTTCGTTCAATGTATCACCAATATTATATGAGTTTCTGTTAATATCAGAAGAACGTTACATTAATAGAGATCAGGCTGGTACTTAAACGAGGGATGAAAGAAATGGCAGTAATAATAATATTGATGATGATGATGATGATAATGATAACCACAACAACAGTAATAAACTAAATATCACCTTAAAATTTTAATTTATTTTTCTACTATATCTTTTAAAATTACTTGTCTAATAATTTATCTGCATCATTTATAGTTGTTACATTATTCAAATATCATTACTTCTGTAGTATCGTATGAAAATTAGATAGACAAGTATAAATAGAGAACAACTGGTGAACATAGGCTGGTTATGCCCAGCAAACCCGGTTGCTGTTCAAGACACGGTGAACTGTACTGCGACTACTACAATTTAGGGACGTATGTAAAACATCACAACTCATTTATTAACAAGTAAAATAACTAAAACGTTACATTTAGTTTTGTATATTTTAGTTTGATACGGGCCATGAAGTGAATAAGATTATTTTAGTACAAATATAAATCATTTTATCTTTTAATTCAACATTTTTGAAATTAAAACTTGTGTATGAAAATATAAATAAAGTTTGTAAAATTAAAACAAAAAAAAATATTTTTTTTAAATCTTCGAAATCATATGCATTTAGTATGTGTTTTGCTAAAAAATAATCTAAAAAATTTCAAACATCACAGGTTATTTCAAATAAATGAACTCAACATCACAATTGCTAATACGACGACAAAGAATAATAAAATTTCAATTCATCAAAGTAGATTAATACTCATGTGAACGTAACAGGGTTATAGAAAGTCGAGGTCTACGAATGTGGACTTTAAAATCAAGTAGAATTAAAAATGAGTTAGCATCCTTAAATATTCGTAAATTATAGACTAGTTCATCAAAATTGTCGAGTGGGTGGTCCTCCTGAAAGAACACCCTATATAAAAAAAAAAACTCGAACAATCTTTATGCTCTTGGAGCAAAACTTTTTTCACATTATCTAGCAGGTCATTAATTCCATCTCATGAATCCAAGATAAGATGTGCGGCCTATATATGTCAATATTAAAATGAGGTCGTTTTCTAAGGAAACCAATCGATAGACCTTGACTTTTCTATCATGAATATCACTGCTAATAAATCCGCTTAATTTTTAAATTCATGTAGGCCAAGCCGTATTTTTGAAGATATTAATTCCAAATGCTTTGCTGTTTTCGAATTTATTCATTCAACGTGACACATTCATAATTTTCTCAATTAAAGAAATAACATAATTATTTATCTACCATTTCGAATGGCTACGCTACTCATAATGTTTTTTTTTTTTTTTCTATTCTGTTAAAATAAGTGCTAATACATTGAAACGGTTTTCTTTTACTAAAGAAAAATAATTTTGAACCGATCATGTTATGATCACAACATAAGTTCTTTCTTTAAGTAAATAAAAAAGCATTTTATTTTAACCTTTTGAGAGAGAAAGAAATAAAACAAATAATCTGTAGATTGACAGGATGTATTTAGCAAGATAGAAATTTCGATTAGCTTCTATGCCGTTTTCCTCCAAGACGTTGGCGATCATGGATTGCATCATGTTCCTCACCTTGGCAGATCTTAATAAATTTTGTATTTTGGTTTTCTCGGCCAAACCATGCAGCACCATGAATTCACTCAAGCTCACCAGGTACGTTGTTTTCCTATGACCTGTGAGTATCAAATTTTCCAAGCTTACTTTCCTAAATATATTCCCTAGAAATTTAGACTGTCGAATCCTGATGTGAAATATAAGTGTCGTTTTTTTTCCATTTTCTTTAGAATTCATTGTCACATGTTTGATTCATAGTTTTCTAAGAATCCTTCTGTAGAAACACATTTCTATTGTTTGAGATATCTTCATCTCTGGGGCGATGGTCCGGCATTCATTGGGATGTAGAAAGGAGTGGGATTACATAAGAGTTTAATATTGTTTCCTTTGTTTCTAAAGAAATATTCCTGTTTCTTCCAGCTTGGCTCAGCCTTTTGAAAGGCATATTTCGCTATCAAAAAGAATCATGAGTTTCGTCATTTACCCTTGCCGCCCTCTACTAAAACCCTTCTCAGCTACGTAAATTGTTGTAAGGTTCGATTTCGCTGTCCCCAAGTCATAATTTGCATGATGGGCGGATCTTTTTGCTAACGTCATAAATTTATAATATTCGAAAATATATTTGGTTTGTTTTTCACCATGTAAAAAATAATCGAAGAAAAATGACGTCGTCTCAGATTGTTTCGCTACTAATTAAATGTTACTAATACTAGCAATACATTTTTAAAGGAAAACGATAATCAGCAAAAAAAAAACAAAAAAAAATAAATCGTGACGGTATTAAATAACACATTGACGTTGATTTGTCGTAAAGAAAACAAACCAAACCAAACCATGTTTTGGCATCCATT